CTTCTTGTAAACCCAGATGCAGGATGTCTCTTATCTGCATTTACAGTTGGGTGAGTAATGATGTTGCCCGTAATACCATGTACTGCTATTATCTTGCTCTTATAGTTGAGTCTAGACAACAACATGATCCTGTAATGCCAGATTCAGTTTGTCATACTTCTGCTCCTACAATTGTTTTGTAAGTTTATAATATTGATTTCTTGTCGTATGAGACTCTGCTTACCTACAGTTGGGGTTAAAAGGTATATATAACACAGTCTACATGTTCAAGCCACAGTGATGTTGTGACAATTTTTTCATCCTCAAACTCCTAATGCCTTGTTTTTCCATTTGAGGTTGTACCTAGCTATTTCTGTTTATATGTTACTATAGTTCGCACCTCTCAAAACATTTTAAGTTTGTAGCTAGGATTTTCCTTTTCTGCCCATTTTGGATTAATTTCCTACTTTCTATGGGAAGTGCATACCTCTTCCAGAAAGTAGTCTCACAAGTGTGCTTCATTTTCATCTCCGAGGACACCCATTCATTCTGGGTGGTGGCATTCCATTGGGTTTGATATCTGTGCAACTACACTGGCCTCTCCACCTTTGTAATGTGGGAATCTAGCTTGGTGTGAAATAATGCAAAACTGTATCACAAGTTAATATTTTCCTTACACTGAAAATGTATTTCTGATAGGTACTTACTTTTCACATACATCCCACTCTTCCTACTTTTAGAGCCTGATAATTCTGAAATATGAAGATTGAGCAGAAAAACAGTATAGGTTGTGCAATACTATTTTTGTATAGTCACACGATATGCATATTTTCATAAATGGCACAAAATTGATGGGGTACTGATCAAAAATATCTTTTTAGCAAATGAAGATTGAGATAGCTTTGTGTGATGAAGGTAAGTACCAACTGGAAATATACTGTCACTATGAGTAGATCAAAGTGTTTTTCACAGCTTTTTAGATAGTTACATTCAAAACTTGGTATGAAAACATAGTTAATGAATCAAATTAAAATATTATGTAACTTCTAAGTTAACTTGATCAGTAAATACTAAAAAAATCCTCAACATTTGTTCTCTAGGTCTTTCCACTACTCTAATTTAGTTACCACTTCTCTAAGAGGTAGAGAATTTAACATATATTACTCATTATAATATATACATTACTAAGGCAAAGTCTTACTTTAAAAGCCTTCAATATTATTTGGTTACAGAATCATATTCTACAAAATCAGACCCGACTACCAGATCCTCTCTTTCACATACTGCAAATAGATCTTACTATACTAAATACAGAATGTATGTCAGTATCTACATATCTAACCAAAATTCCTGTTTCATAAATTCAATGGCAATGAAGGAACATCACACTGTAGAAATTTCAATGGGTGTCCATGATACCCCATTTTGAAAAGCAGGCAAACCTTGATTTATTCAATGAAAGGGTTGGCGTGGATGTGTAGGAATCCCCTTGTACTTTACTCATGAAGTCCTTGAGTGTCCATCAGAGAATTAAAGGTACTGATATCTTGTACATATATATAGATACCACTGAGCAAGCCACCAGTGGTCTTGGAAACCCCATTTCTACAGCAAGCATTATATTGCAAACAGTAAGTAGTACGTGTTTGAGGCACAGAATACCCAATCAGGAAACACCCACCACAAAGTGTGATCCCTATAATATTGGTTCAAACTGGTTTCCAAAAAGTAAACATAAATGAAAGTAAGTGATAAGACTTACCCCAGTCAGAGGTGAACGGATGTGTGCAAAATAGCCATGGGAGGAAGATACAGCCAGATCATGTAGATAATGAGCAACAAAGGTATTGGTTGTAGTCCACATTTCACCCTAAACAACCTTCTCCAAAGGATGATAAAAACAAGCAGCCAAGGACATAGTGATGTGATGAACTTGATTAGAACAAACATTGTGGAGATGTTAATCTTCAATAGACAAGTTCAAATACACCAGTCTATGGAGTTTATGAAGAAACCCAACAATTGTGAGTGACATTGACAAATCATAGGAAATGGAAGGATTCCAGGGAATAAAAAGTTGGAAACGTGAACCTCATAAATAAGAGTGTGTTAAATAACACCTGTAGGATCAAGCCAGAAAAAGAAGCCTATTTGGATCAGAATGTAAGAATAGGTGGGAGATGGTCTGCAAGGAAATGATTGAGAAACAACCTTTCTTGGCAGCATAGGTTTTAGAGAGGAAGAACCAGTTGGGATAGAGAACATTATAATAGGAATGTTAAAGGATGTGAGAAACATTAATGGAATAAATATCTGTATGATGATGTGCACATGCACAAGGAGGAGGGGGAAATCGATCTTGAGGAAGAGATGGTACAAGGAATGCATAGACAATGTTTAAAATGGAGAAATGGAAAGGGCATAAAGGACCACGTTGTAATCCAAATCATGTGAAAAAAGGACATGAAAGGATTGGAAAAGGAAAGAAATGAAAGGAGAAGACAAATCCTAGAGAAAAGAAAGGTGTTCGACAGGGGCTACCCAATAGCTAGACATGGTCAAAGCAGACAAGCCCATGTCAAACAACATCGTGAAGAATTGAGAAAGATGAAAAACAGATGGATGATAAAGAGAGAAACCATGTTACACCAATCATAGCAGAAGGTAGACCATTGCAATTGTTAAATGGCTATGGGAAGTCTGATGGTTCAGGAAAGGAAGGATGTGATATCAATATTCTGTTCCTGAGCTGAGACAATGGACCTGACAAGAGACACGGGTAAAGATAGGGAATATTGTACAAGTAAAGGCCAGAGCAGAGGGAACCATGGCTGTGCAGGCCAATATGAAGTGGTTTGGATGAGGGTGAAACTTTGGACAGAAGTTGAATAATAGGGTAGGCATAGTTGTGAAGACACCTCCAATCCTGACTGAACTGGGTGTAGAATGGGAGACCAATATGAAGGAAGTTTGGTGTTCATTGTGTGGCAAAGGCATTGATATGAATTGTTTCCTGTTGAGAACACACTAACTTAAAGATATGAGGATCAAAGGACCACTTCATTGGAAGAATCTGATTGGGATGAAATAATTGATCCACAACCAGATTCACAGCACCAAGAACATGGTCAGCTAAGATCACCATGTTGTGATTGTGAGTTCAGAAAAGGATATCCAGAGTTTAAAAACACAGTGACCTGCATTTGGTTCCAGCTTGCTTGGTGATACAATTGGCAACAGTGAAATTCTTGGAGTGGATGTTAAACCTCCCCACAGGAGACAAAGGAAATGGGACAAAGCCTGAAGAACTGTCATCTGTTGGTATGGAGAGCAGACTGCTTGACAGACCACAGACTAATAAATCTCTCAAAAGTCAAGAAAAGCACCCATATCCTCTAGAGATGCATCCCTGGACTAGTATAACTCTGGACAGAAGAAGGGGAACTCCTACCATGGTCTGTTTCCTGTCAAGCCACTAAGAGAGGTCAACAGAAAGAAAGGTAACAGGGTAGTCCAAGAGATCCAAGGAAAAGCTTGTCTGATCGACGAGCATTCAACGAAGTGAATACATATGAGCTTGACAAATAGAAATGAGAGTTTTCAAGTAGTTTCCACATCCTCAAAATAGAACCTATTGAGCTGTTAGAGAATGTAACGTAAAGGCCATTGTAACTGTTTGCTCCATGTCCCGGAGACGAAGAGGAAAGGCTGGGCCCAACTGAGCTTATAATTGAAGAAAACTTCCAAATGAATAAGGTGTTGAGTGGGGTAATAGTTAAGAATAGACATTAAACCCATTTATGTTGCTTGTGGTCCTATGACTGGGGACTGGAAGAGGCGATTGTCCATGTAATCATGAGTACAATGGACCATAGAGTGAAGTTGTTAGGCAATTGTGCATACTACCTGACAAAACACATAAGGAGCCGATGTTGGTCTTATGGTATAGCCCTGAACTGGAACACACAACCCTAACTAATACAGTGCTAGTGAAGATAGGGAATATTGAGTGAGAATAGGAGTATAGATGGCTCAATGCTATTGGTGGGGAGTAGTCACATGATGTATACAGGTTCAGATATGGTGCAAAAGTTATGGGGTATATAGACTGGTGTGCTGATCACATAAATTATTTGAGGGCAGATGAAGATAGAGGAGGAGGAACTGTCATTTGTTATTTCTACCTGTAAATTAATGTGTAAAGTGATAAAATGGCAACAAAGTGCTTTTAAAATTTTAAAGAAATGTTTGTCTCAAAATTAATAGGAGAACAGTACTTGTTTCTATAAATGAAACATTAAGAAACTTTCTAACTGACCAGTTTTGTTATCTTTTTGGTTCTTCACATTCAGAGAATGTACTGCTGTCATTTATTTCTATAAATGTGATTATCCTGAACAGTAACAGCCTATAGAAACTGAGACTTGAATAATCCCAAATCTCTAGTCATTTAATTTACCGTACTGAAGTCACTAATGAAACAGCCTCTAATAATACCTAAACTTGATAAATAATATATATAGATAAAAATTTTAGTTTAGTATATATCTTGACATGTATAAATATTCATTTAACACATACTGAACATTTAAACAGGAACTATAAAGTATTGATGTTAATTAACATGTTAAAGTGGACAAATCTTTAGAAGATAACATGATAATCACCACTTCAAGTTACAAAATACTAACAGTTAATCCAGAAAGGCTCTGGCTGAAAGTAGTGTTGGTTGGTGGTACACTGTACTATCATATCTGTACAGGCAGTTTTAGATGTTATCTACTAAAAACGTCTCTTGAATATGGTACATTACCAACAGTTTATGTTTTTAATGCTATTCTGTTCTGGGTAGAAAATGTTTTTATAAATTTTAAACTTAGTTATATATTTAGTATTTCTGTATTAATATTTGTGTTGATCATGTATGAACATTAAAATATATTTAGATGTTCATCAAATTAAGTAGTGTATGATATATTTATTATTACCTTATTTTTTGACATCATTTATATCTACTTTAGATAAAGAGACCAGTGTGAACATCTGTAGTGGAAGTCAGTTTCCTGGTTATGTTATAAAACAAGAAAATCACTTTACAGAAGACGTAAAATCCCAAAATTACAATATTAGTGAAGAAACAAAGTTAAATGGAAATAACCTAAAAGCATCTAACAAACATCAGTGTGATGATAAACTATACAGTTGTGGAAAAACATTTGATAACCTAACACAACAAAAGAAGACGTATTCTGGAAAGAAACCGTATCATTGTGTAGTTTGTGGAAAACAGTTTAAAAGAAATTGTAACTTAAAAATGCATAAAAGAAAACACACTGGGAAGAAACCAAATAGTTGCACAGACTGTGGAAAACAATTTCATTGCAAGAGTGCTTTAATAATACATGAAAGAATACACACTGGGGAGAAACCATACAGTTGCACAGACTGTGGAAAACAATTTGGAAACAAGAGTACTTTAAAAAAACATGAAAGAATACACACTGGGGAGAAACCTTACAATTGCACAGACTGTGGAAAACAATTTCGAGACAACAGTACTTTAAAAAAACATGAAAGAATACACACTGGGGAGAAACCTTACAGTTGTAGAGTTTGTGAAAAACAGTTTGGAGCAGACAGACAATTAAAAGCACATGAAAGAATACACACTGGGGTGAAACCTTACAGTTGTACAGTGTGTGAAAAACGGTTTAGAGAAAAGTATTATTTAGAAATTCATGAAAGAATACATAGTGAGGAGAAACCTTACGCTTGTGAAGTGTGTGGAAAATGGTTTAGAGAAAAGTATTATTTAAAAATTCATGAAAGAACACACACTGGGGAGAAACCATACAGTTGCACAGACTGTGGAAAACAATTTGGAAACAAGTGTAATTTAAAAAGACATGAAAGAATACATACTGGGGAGAAACCTTATAGTTGTACAGTGTGTGAAAAATGGTTTGGAAACGAGGATTATTTAAAAATACATGATAGAATACACACCGGGGAGAAACCTTATGGTTGTACAGTGTGTGAAAAACAGTTTGGAAAAAACAGTGAATTAAAAATACATCAAGGAAAACACACTGGGGAGAAACCTTACAGTTGTAGAGTGTGTGAAAAACAGTTTGGAACAAACAAACATTTAAAAGTACATGAAAGAATACACACTGAGGAAAAACCGTACAGTTGTGCAGTGTGTGAAAAACAGTTTAGATTGAAGAGTCAATTAAAAACACATGAAAGAATACACACTGGGGTGAAACCTTACAGTTGTACAGTTTGTGAAAAACAGTTTAGAGAAAAGTATCATTTAAAAGATCATGAAAGAATACATAGTGAGGAGAAACCTTACAGTTGTACAGTGTGTGGAAAACAGTTTAGATGGAAGAATCAAATAAAAGTACATGAAAGAATACACAGTGGGGGAAACCTTACAGTTGTACAGTGTATGAATAATGGTTGGAACAAAGGGTCACTTAAAAATACATGGTAGAATACACACTGGGGTGAAACCTTACAGTTGTACAGTGTGTGAAAAACGGCTTAGAGAAAAGTATCATTTAAAAGAACATGAAAGAATACACACTGGAGAGAAACCTTACAGTTATATAGTGTGTGAAAAACAGTTTAGAAGAAAGGGTCAATAAAAATACATGAAAGAATACACAGTGGGGGAAACCTTACAGTTGTACAGTGTGTAAAAAACGGTTTGGAAACAAGGATTATGTAAGAATACACACTGGGGAGAAACCTTATAGTTGTACAGTGTGGGAAAAACAGTTTGGAACAAACAAACATTTAAAAGTACATGGAAGAATACACACTGTGGAGAAACCTTACAGTTGTGCAGTGTGTGAAAAACAGTTTAGATGGAAGAGTCAATTAAAAGTACATGGAAGAATACACAGTGGAGGAAACCTTACGGTTGTACAGTGTGTGAAAAACGGTTTGGAAACAAGGATTATGAAAGAATACACACTGGGGAGAAACCTTATAGTTGTACAGTGTGTGAAAAACAGTTTGGAACAAAGGGTCACTTAAAAATACGTTATAGAATACACACTGGGGTGAAACCTTACAGTTGTACAGTGTGTGAAAAACGGCTTAGAGAAAAGTATCATTTAAAATAACATGAAAGAATACACACTGGAGAGAAACTTTACAGTTGTACAGTGTGTGAAAAACAGTTTAGAGAAAAGGATCTTTTAAAAGTAGATGAAAGAATACACATTGGGGAGAAACCTTACAACTGTAGAGATTGTAGAAACAGTTTGTAACAAAGAGTGCTTTAAAAGTACATGAAAGTACACACACTGAGGAAAAACAGATTGGTAAAAAAGGAGAATCCTTATAGTTGTACGATGTGTGAAAAAGACTGAATAAAGAATTTGTATAAAGCAGTTTCTTAACATATGAATGTATACATAATTAATAGCAACCCTGAAGTTTTGAGTTTTGTAGAAAGCTATTTCATAGTAACTCTTAAGTTAAAAAACATGAAGGGAATACATATTGGGGTGAGACCTTACAGTAGACTCTTCTTTCATTTTATTTATATTTCCGACGACATTATTTTAAACCTGATTTTTATCTTTATTGTTTTTTATTTTATTTTATTATTCAGATTTTTACATTAGAAACTGATTTTCTTTTTGTTCAGTTGCAGTTTACAGTACAGCTGTTTTTTAAGCTATAACTATTAACTGTTACTAAAGTTTATCATTGTTTCGGTATTTGTTAAATGTACTTATATTTCACCTAGCTATGCACTTTTAAATCTTAATCAAAATTCTGTTTTAATATTTCAAACTTAGTTAACCTTTCCGTAAAATGTTGCTCGTTTCCTAATTTTTCTGCTTGGCTTGTACTTTTTAATTAAATATTTATTTCTTAAAGTATGCTTACTTCACATACCTAATTTCGAGGCAGTACATTAAGAAATACAAAGACATAAAATCTCCATATTTGATTAAAGTTCTGTTACGTCTCTGTTCGTTTGTTAATTTTCCGTAGAAATTCTTTCCGAGAAACTTCAGCGATACAAGTCCTTTCTTAAATAAAACTAGTTTATTCTTTCTTAATTCAACTTTGCAATACTCTTAATTTCCACAGTCACTTTAACTTAAACACACGCTATAACTCACATAGATTCACGAACTTTACTATCGGTCACTACCGCTCACTTGACTCGATTATCTGTGTCTATATCTTCAATCTCTCGATCTGCTATTCCCATTAATTATCTCGCTTTATTTGCCGCGCTTATATACAAGAATATGGGGCGTCTAGAACGCACTCGCCTCTTCAGGAACCTTCTAGATACTAATCACGTGTTACCAGGGTCACGTGACTTCCGCTGTCGTGACAGTTCTTCCTATTTTTTTCTTTGCTCCATAGATACGGAAACTTTATAGTTACTCAACAAAAATCACTCAAATTTGAACAAAATATTTAGCTGTATCATTTTTAGGCTAGTAGGTGCAAATTATACATCTTAAAGAAAATTCATGTTATAAAAAAAAGAAGTAAAGTCTACCAGATACTACAACAAATTCCTAATGATCCAGCTATACATATACTGTTAGCCAAGGTAGACGTGCAACAATAGATGATCTGATATATATATCTTAAGAAACAATTCTCTAAAGTTGACATTTCTGAATGGAAATGATCAACGGAAAGTCTCACGTTTAGAATATCGTTATCCATGAATGATAAAATTTTCAAACCTATGATACTTATGTTAAGAAAACGTTATATTTGGGTAATACTTAATTAAAATAAATGAGTTATTATTGAGTTGAAAAACTAGAGGGTAAAATCAAAAGCTTTTAGTACTTAAGAAAGGGGTTTATAAATAATGAC